CCAAGACAATCACCAATTACTTAATCCCATATTATTCCTCCATTTTCAACATAAATTGTGGGCTCTTACACCTCTTCACCAATTAAAACTTTATGGAGCACCGCATGTTCGTACTACATGAGTATTGAATAATCACCCCTGTTCAAATACTACTTATTTATATACACGTGTTACTTATTTATTCACTTATCTGTTCACCTCACCACTACTATTCACCATTGACGAAGTTTTTTACGCTGACTTTTCAATGCATATCCTTATTTACTAAAAATTTAAATTTTTGACCAAATTATATATAATTCCGACTTTTCAGTAATTAACCTAAATTTTTATTAATCATGGGCCCAACGTTTTGTCCAATCATAAGTCCCAAAGTAATTGTGCCATGTATAAAAATAAAGAATAAAACACAAAAAAACATATAAGTATATTTAAATGTTTATTTGTGAACACGTGATTTCAACCAAAAATCAAAGCCAATCAAGAGTTGCCAACACTAAGGCCATTAACTGGTCTTTGAGTTTTAGGAAATTTTTTTATATATGTATAATCAAAATTTATTAAACTAGAGTAAAGTACGAATGCATTTTTTAAAATTTGTTTAAAATACGAATTATTTATTATAATTTTAAAAATTATAAATATCTTTTTATTATAATTTTTTTATTTAATATAATTAATAAAAAAAATTATAACTACTGATTTATGTAACAATAAATTACTTAAATTGTTAATTGAAATATATTTATAATATTATTTAAAATTTTAATTAACTTAATAATTTATTAATAAAATAGATTATTTATTATACGACTAGAAACTTGAAAGAGACGGATGCGATTTCTGAAACTGTAGAGGAAAATCGTATTTTAAATAAATTTTAAAGATGTATTTATAAATTTACCCAATAATTTAAATATAATGATGAATTTTATTCCTAAAATTGTGAAACCAATAATTTAAATTACCATTTGATTTTGATTATGTTTCACAAATTTAATAGTTTAGTTTGTTGAGTTCCACAAATTCCACGATTTGGTTTTTGCTTATTAACATCGGACAATACGACTAGAAACTTGAAAGAGACGGATGCGATTTCTGAAACTGTAGAGGAAAATCGTATTTTAAATAAATTTTAAAGATGTATTTATAAATTTACCCAATAATTTAAATATAATGATGAATTTTATTCCTAAAATTGTGAAACCATAAGACATAATTTAAATTACCATTTGATTTTGATTATGTTTCACAAATTTAATAGTTTAATTTGTTGAGTTCCACAAATTCCACGATTTGGTTTTTGCTTATTAACATCGGACAAACTTGATCAATAATGAATATAGGGCATTTTGGCAAGCTGACAGTTTTTTTTTTTTTGGTCTTTTTATGGTCACATCAGTTCTTTATTTGTTTACACTCAAAAAGTTTAATTTTTACTACCTTTTCAAAACGCGACTATATAAAATATAAGTGGATGAGATTTTATAAAATTTATTAATAATGTCCATTTTTTGAAATTTTTATCTATCCGTGTATCTAGTTCTGTTTGACTGTCTTTGAACAATATGTGTTTTGGCTAAATATAAGAAAAAACACATATAAACAGCAAAGGGAGAAACTAAAGTTGCCTTTTGTAGAATTTTATAAATATAATTTGAGAGTATGAGTTATATTTTGAGTTTGTGAGTTGTAAAATTATGATTTGAGTGCAGAAAATTTGTTTGGTTATGATTTTTGAATAGAGTTTCGAATTGAGTGTAGAATTGAATTTTGAAAGTTTGATTTGACATATGAAGTAATAAAATTTATTTGTTTATGAGTTTTGGAAAGAGTTTTCAAAACTTAATTCAAATTGTTATAACTCATAACAAAATACACTACTTTCACATTATTAAAAATTATAATAAACACTTATAACCAAACTCTTTTTAAAATTCAATCAAAATTTTTATTATTAACAGAAAATAACATTAATCAATTTTTTAATTGAAAATACTACAAAGAAAATAATTTTTTTTCAAAATAAATATTCAAAAAAATTAAAACATAAATATTTAAATAATTTAAATAATCTAAAAAATTTAATAAGTAAAAAATTAAAATAAATATTCAAAAAAATTAAATAATTTAAATATTCAAAAAATTTAAATAATTTAAAATATTAATATTTTAAATTTAAAAACAACTCTACACTCAAATCGTAACTAAACACATAAAATAAAACTCAATTAATAAATTATTTTTAAAACTCATAACCAAACACATAACTCGAAACTCCATACTACTTTCACAACTCTAATTCAAAAATTATTTTTTTAGTTTGATCTATAAAATTATATTTCATTTTTTATATTTTTTCAAAAAATATTTTATTTTCTTTTGTTTCTTCCAAAAAAATATATTTTTTTTTAATTTTTTAATATTTAAAATATTTTTAAAATATTTTAATTTTTTTAAGATTTTAAATATTTAAATATGTTACGATTTTTTAAATTTTTAATTTTTTTGAATATTTTTAAATATTTTAATTTCAAAATATTACGATTTTAATTTTTTTAATTTTAAAATATTTTATAAATATAAATTCAAACTCTATTTTATAAAAATATTTTTAAATATTTTAATTTTTTTGTTATGTATTTGATTACGATTTGAGTGTAGAGTTGTAAAAGTAGTATGAAGTTTCGAATTATGTGTTTGGTTATGAGTTTTAAAAATAATTTATTAATTGAGTTTTGTTTTATGTGTTTAGTTACGTTTTTAGTGTAGAGTTGTTTTTAAATTTAAAATATTAACATTTTAAATTATTTAAATTTTTTGAATATTTAAATTTTTACGATTTAAATTTTTTTAATAGTTATTTTAATTATTAAACTTTTTAGATTATTTAAATTATTTAAATATTCATGATTTAAATTTTTTGAATATTTATTTTGAAAAAAATTATTTCCTTTGTAGTATTTTTAATTAAAAAATTGATTAATATTATTTTTTGTTAATAATAATTTTTTTAATTGAATTTGAAAAAGAGTTTGGTTATGAGTATTGATCGGAATTTTTAATAGTGTGAAAGTAGTGTGTTTTTTTATGAGTTATAACAATTTAAATTAAGTTTTGAAAACTCTTTTCCAAAACTCATCACCAAACAAATTTTTTTACTTCATATGTCAAATCAAACTTTCAAAACTCAATTACACCTCAATTCAACAATATTTTCAAAAATCATAACCAAACAAATTTTCTATACTCAAATCATAATTCCACAACTCACAAACGCAAAATACAACTCATACTCTTAAATCATATTTACAAAACTCTACCAAACGCAACCTAAAAAATTACTTCAAATTTTTACTAAAAAACAAAAAACATATTTGTAGCATTTACAAAATGCATTCAGTGTGTTTGGTTTGAGTTTTTTGGATTAAGTTTTTTAAAAATTGAGTTTTTTGGTTTTCGTATTTTTTTTGTTTTTAGTGAATATTTTTAAAATTTTTAATTTTTTTTTACTTTTTTAGATGCACCTTACTTAAATGTACGTAAAAGGTAAAAAATATGTGAAAAAATATTTTAAAAAATTAGTAAATACATAAAAATACAAAATATGTACTGAATTGTTGTATTTTTTTATATTTTTTGTATTTAGTGAATTTTTAAAATATTTTTGTATATTTTTTTACTTTTTAGGTGTATTTATGTTAGATATGTCTAAAAGTAAAAAAATTGCTTAAAATATTAAAAAAAAATCAGTAAAAACAAAAAAATACGAAAAATAAGAAAGTAAAATTTTCTGAAAAGTGTTTTTTTAAAAATGAAAACAAGCAAGGTGATTAGTTTTTTTTACAACAACTTTGGCTTTGTTTTAGTTTTATTTTTAAAATTTATTTTATGAATTATTTTTTGAAAAAAAAATAGAAGATAATTCGACAAAAATAAATACTACAATAAAAAAAATTAAAAAATAAATACTACAATAGAAGATTTTGAGGTCTGTATGGTAAAATTTTAAAATAGCTAAAAAGTAAAAAAATCAACAAATATTAAAAAGTCAAAATTTTATTTTCAATTATTCCATTTTTTGCATATATTTGTAAAGATTCATAACCAAACAAATTTTTCACACTCAAATCATAATTTCAAAACTTACAAACTTAAAATACAATTATATTATTAAATCATAATTCTAAAATTCTACAAAACATTAGCTTAAACTTTTTCATCTCATATTTTAGTTAAAAATTATTAAAAAATACTATTCCCAAAATGAGCCTAATTTTTATTTTTTTCAAATTCAGTAAAAACAAAAAAATACGAAAAATAAGAAAGTAAAATTTTCTGAAAAGTGTTTTTTTAAAAATGAAAACAAGCAAGGTGATTAGTTTTTTTAACAACAACTTTGGCTTTGTTTTAGTTTTATTTTTAAAATTTACTTTATGAATTATTTTTTGAAAAAAAGAAGAAGATAATTCGACAAAAATAAATACTACAATAAAAAAAATTAAAAAATAAATACTACAATAGAAGATTTTGAGGTCCGTTTGGTAAAATTTAAAAATAGCTAAAAAGTAAAAAAATTAACAAATATTAAAAAGTCAAAATTTTATTTTCAATTATTCCATTTTTTGCATATATTTGTAAAAATTTATAACCAAACAAATTTTTCACACTCAAATCATAATTTCAAAACTTACAAACTTAAAATACAATTCTATTATTAAATCATAATTCTAAAATTCTACAAAATATTAACTTAAACTTTTTCATCTCATATTTTAGTTAAAAATTATTAAAAAATACTATTCCCAAAATGAGCCTAATTTTTATTTTTTTCAAATTTTGGGATTATGAAATTGGACCAAAAATGTGATTCCCAAACTAGACTGTTATCCGTAATCAACTTTAGTCAATTAAGATGATGCTCCATTTTCACCGCTGTAATACGCGTTTCTCTCTCCTTTTGTCCCCCTCAAAACTGCCTCTCTCTCTCTCTCTCTCTCTCTCTCGGACCATCCCCATTCCCATACCCACCCAGTCCACACACTACAAATACCAGAAACCTTTCTATTTTTCTCTCTCTCTACAATTTCTTATTATTCTCTCTCTAGAAAAAACCCCCCATAACTGTACTACTTTTCTTTCTCTCTCTCTTCCATTCATGTTATAGTTAGGGCAGCCCTGCGTAGATGCTAGGGCTGCGAACCCTAGAGGTACAAACATGGTGTTCAAAGGCAGGTTCTTCTCTTCGAAGAAATCTGATACTTCCAGTCCAGATGCATCGAATAGTCCTCGATCGTTCGGTTCTAACTCTCCGATCAGATCCGAGAAGAAGAAAGTTAAATCCACCAAGGACGATCCGCCGATCGGTACTAGTTCTAGTGGTTTCGGTGCCCAGTGTCGTCAAGCTCAAGTAAAAGATGGTGTCAAGCAGCAACAACAATCATCGCTGAAGAAGAAGGATGTGAAGGGGAAAGAGACTCAAGCTCAAGCTCAAGCTCAAGCTCAAGCTCAAGCTCAGGCTCAAACTCCGGCGAAGCTGGGGTTGGGTTTGGGTTTGGCATCGAGTTCTGGGTTGGGAAGTTCGGGTTTGAACTCACGCAAATCAGCGGTGGAGATGAAGGATGTTCCAGCGTCTGTGTCGCCGATTTTGGCATCGTCGCTGGGATTGAATCGGATTAAGACGAGGTCTGGGCCGTTGCCACAAGAGAGTTTTTTTGGGTTTCGAGGGGATAAAGGTTCTGCACTTGGTTCTAGTAAGCTTTCGAAGCCTGTTGGTGATGGTGGTGGTGGTGGTTTGTCTTCGGGTTCAGGTTCTGGGTCTGGCGGGATTGGGAAAAGTGGGGGGAAGAAGGAGGGGGTTAGTCAGAGAAAGATGGGTTCTGAAGATAATGTTGGATTTGGGGGTTGGGTTGAAGTTGGAAGCAATTCAGATAGTATGTCTACGGAGAGTGGACCATCTAGAGACCAGAGTCCTCATGTCCAGGCTCGGTCTAGGCTCCAGAATAGTGAATCTACATCAGAAGCTGGTACGCTTCCCTTATATGTATATATACACACATAAACACTTATATGTATGCACATATTACATTGGTTTTTTGTAAATTGATGTATTCATGTATGTGAAGCAATAACTAACTAAAATGCTATGATGTTGAGATTATTGTTTTTGGAGAATGTGATTGTCATCTTTCAACTAACTGCTACAAGGGAAACCATTGGAAATTGAACTAAATGATAAACCCATGAAAATGACTCGCCACTGGACTCTCCCTGAACTGGCCATGCCCTGCTGATTTTTGTATCATTATCAGAATTGAGTTTGAACAAATGTGAGCATCTTAAATAGGAGTCCAGGTTTTATTGATGCAAGTAGTGAATTGTACATGATTTAAATGGAGATAAGGAAAAAGGTTGGTAAGTTTGTATGCAAATTGGGCAAGCCTTGTGGGTGAAAATGGCAATGTTATCTTGCATTTTCTAACTATGTATGCTTATGTAGTATCTTATGTTGTGGGTGTGCTACTCAGATCAAGGACAAATCCTATGGTGGATTATTTGGAAAACTCATGGCTGAAAAAACCTGTTAGGATTAGTTGAACCATGTGATTAATGTGGGTCCCATGCAATTATAAATTTGTTAATATATGTATTTGAGTTAGGATAGTAGAGTCCAAAATCTACTAGGAAACCTAGTATGTGTAAGATTTGATTATCTAATTATGTGCAACTAGGATTTTCATTGGTAGATTATTATAATTAATCATGTGGACCATAGAGTTTTCTAAGAGAGATTGAGAGAGTGGTGAGGGAAAAAAATAGAGATGGGTGAGAAAAAATACCGTGAGAGCACTGGGTGAGCGATGGCTCAACTATCCTTGAGCATAGGTTCGGATAGTAGTGCATGTTTTGCACATTTTGGCCATCTTGCCTATTTTATTTGTATAGTGGAATCTCTCTCTCTCTCTCTCTCTCGCCCTCTTGTGGATGTAGGCAATTTGGGCCGAACCATGTAAATTTGAGTGTCTTTGTTTCTCTTTGTTGTGTGCATGGTGTGCGTCTATTTCCGTTGGTGGAATGTGGAATATGGAATAAATCCCAACAAAACCAAATGTTGATTATAGTGTTGTCTAACATTTCTATACATGAGAGAATGATGAGAAAATTTTGAGCCCAAGGGAATGCTTTAGATGTCCGTGTTAATCACCTAGCAATTAACAATCATTGAAACTCGTGGTGGGCGCAAATATGATGTGATTTTGCAATTTTATATTTAATTTTTTTTGGATTATTTGATGATTGAGAAAAATTTCAGAAAAACTAATTAGCAGTTTTGGATGATTTGATGGAGCAAAATTATCATCAATTATTTGATGTGATAGTTACTGGATGGGAAGGGAGGTGACAATTAATGGGTGGGAAGGACATTCTTGGTAAAGTAAAAGATGTGACAGCGCCGTTGATGCTAATTGAGGTGTACGCTTTATATAATTTAATAGAAATAGATGATGTACATTAATGAGTTAACTTCATTTTGTCATGTAATGAATGAAACAAAAGAAGATGCTGATGGAATTTTAGTGGCTGTTTGCGAACTTCCAAAATAGGCTGCTTTTAGCTAAAAAAACCAAGAAGTCATTAAGCTGGTTTTTGCCATTAAGCTGGTTTTTGCCATCAGCTAAGAAAGCCAAATGCCACATCAACTTTTTCACTTACAAAAAATTAATTTTTTTTTAGCAACTTCCCAAACACTTTAGCTTTTTTTAGCTCCTAATATAGCGAAAAAGCCACAAAAAAGCTAATCCCAAATGACCACATAGTTGGGTAGATGATGATGATTATGCGGATGAATTATGTTAGGAAGCACATACACCTACTTGGTGTTGTGTCCTTGTCTGACATGTCAATCGTTGACACTTGTCGTTAACACGTTGACACATATTAGATGCAAATCTAAAGTATACTATTGTTTTTTAAAATTTTGAAATAGCAAACATGCTTTGGAGACACTTAGGACAAGCATGTCCATTGTTTAAACACACATTGTCGCATATCTAGTAAGTTTGGGTGTGCATATCTGTTCGGTTGAGTTTTCATAATTTGTGTTTAGAATTTTTTTTTAAAAACTAAGTTGGTGAAGAAATAGAAAAAATTCATCATTTTCATATGGTTCTCTTTCTTGTTATGGAAATAGTTTTTGAAAATTAAAAAAAATAATTTGTGTTTAGTTTTGTCAAACTAGTTTTTAATTTTTAATTGTTTTTCTTTAGAAATTAAGTTTTGAAAACTCAACCAAACATAGTGTCTGAAGGATGGACGTATATACAAGTATCCCATCTTTAGGCTTTTTAATATTTTAAAGCTTAGAACATCACGACTTCCAATTTAATTGGTAAATACTTGACTTCTAAAAGTAAGACATTAGCGTTTATTTTCCTGCTGTTTTCATTATATAAATATAAAACTAACTATTTATAATTACTGTAATGTAAATTAAGAAATTTATTTTCTATATAAAAAATATTTTATTTTCATTTATATGTAAATAAATAGTTATTTTGTGCGTTATTGTTGATGTGTCATTGTCAATTTTTTTTTTGAAAGTTGCTAAGTTGGCGTGTCCATTTCATAAATTCTTTATGTGATTGCGTCCAAAGTTTGCCAAACTTCTTTAGAAGTATGAGTTGTAGTAGATATAAGAATAATTGTTTTTTTCCTACAAACATTCGAGGCATGCATAGTAGATGCTCAAAATTAGGGTTGGTTGGGTGCCAAACGATTTATTTTATTTTTATCAACGAAAATGGTTTCTTCACATAGCGTTGAATCTTTTTGGGGCCTTTTCTTTATTAAAAGAGTGTGTGTGCTCGTTTTTATTATTATACAATTTTGAAATACCACTTGCTCAATTCGTATGATTGTTGGGAGAGAGTGTAGACTATTTGTTTTAATTTTTTCACAAATGATTAGTTGATCAAAAGCTAAGAAGCATGAACACAGATATATACATGAACATGGACATGGGGTGCAAACATGGACGTGGATACAGATAACAGACATGGACATCGGACATGATGATTTTAAAAAAGTTAGGATACAAACACGACGGAGATATAACAAAAAATTATAAATATATGTATTTTTTATTTGTTGATTTTTATCCACAAGCAACTATAAATAATGGGAAAGAACACTAATTCAGCATGAAAAAACTTACTCAGTCTATAAGTTACACTGTTCTCAACATACAAAATACTGTTTTGTCAATCAAAAGTCATTTCATCACAAATGTCAAAAGTATTTATGTTAAATAATGAATAGATTAGGCATCAAAGATACGTAAAATCCCTATTATTTTGTTTAATAAGTAATAATTCCACAAGCTTTGTTTTTTATTAGAACAGTTATCAAATGTTTGGACTGGAAATTCTAATGAATCAATGCAAATGGAAGCATGTAATAGAAACATTTGAAAGATGAGAGGGGCAACTGACTTTTTCAAGGAGATATGCTCTTTGCATCTCAAATGAATTTTAGGGCACACATTAGACACATTGAAGATTGAACATATTAGAGAAAAGCTTATTCATTTATTTATTTTTAATTTTCACTTTCTAGTTTCTGAATATTATTCCATTTTATCCAGAATTGTTTCTCTACTTTACTTTGTATACGACAAACTGAATGGTTTTGGAGACCTGAAACATCCTTTTGAGGTAATTTTAGTTGTGTTCCCTTGTTGGTTGGTAAAGGTTTGATTGTATATATTATTTCACATTTAGTGAACCAAATTATTTTGGAAAACCAGAATTAAGTTTTTCAAGACACCACAACCTATGAATGAGTTTCCTAGTGACTGTGTAGGGGTAGCATAATGTAATGTTTGAGGTGTTGCAGTGTTTTACAAAGAAAGGAAAGGAAAGGAAATGAAGATATTTTTTTTCCCAAACAAACAAGAAAGGGTAAAAAGAAACCTATAGAAGAAGATAAGAAAAAAAGAGAAAAAATGAGAATTCTTGGTTCTTTGACTTGATTTTTAGCCTTGTGAAGTTTTAGTATTCAATTGGGTCCTGTCATTGTTTAGTGTTTATGATTCTGTTCATGTGACATCCTATACTTTGGGTTCTCTTTCCTGTTATGAAATGAAATAGTACAATTTGAGTCCAATCTGCACTAGTGACTGTTACAAGTATAGTAGTTATTGTAATATAAGCTGGGTTCTTGTTTGCTTCTATATAAATACTAAAATCTTTGGACCTAAATACTAAAATCCAAACAATACAGAGGTCAGCTTGCTTGCATCACCATTGGAATAGGGAAATTATTGTTAGTTTCAAAATTACTTTTTAAGTGGGGCTAACTCAGGCAGAATCAGCCTAGGTAATCTAAAAAGAGTTATTACAATGAAGTTAACACTAAGAATAAAAATATCACATGGACAAAAACTTTGCAAAAAGGTATAGTAAGGTAAGGACCCTACCCACTTCAATTGCCACATAGCGGCTATTATATCACCAGCAAGTGCATGGCTCGTACAAACTAAGGGTTGTTTTGTGAACTAGCTATTTTAGTTGGCTTTTTGATTTTTTACGAAAATACGTGCAAAAAAGTAGAGACAAGAGTTGACTTTTTGGCTATTTTAGTATGTTCCCAAACTTGCCCTAAGTGGGTATGCTAAAAATATAACTACGTATCCATATCTTCAACAAGTATGTATCCTTAACAGACAAAGTATGTAGCTGCAACATATTTATTTCTTCTTTTCATGACTAGGTGTCTTTAAGAAAGTAACTGTACATTCTTATCCAAGAACCAAGTGTACTTATCAACCATGACACATATCCTTCAGAAATTCAAGATATGCAGTTGTGCAAATTCTTATCACTAGCGTGGCAATTTGGTGCGATAGCTAATGTGGTTTGGGTTAATGGTTTTGTTTGGTGCAGTTTTCTTAAGCTGATAGTTGATAATCTAAGAACAAAAGCTAAAGGCGTCCCTTCCCCAACTTCTAGATAATCTACTTATTCAGCTTATTTAAGCTATTCGTGCCACATAAGCTGCAAGCAGAGCTACACCAAACACTCTGCCACATATTCTCAACAAAATATATATATATATATATATAAGCAGCTCCAATAAGCTGTGCACCAAACATGGCCATTACCTTATGACTTATTTGATTGAATTTTATGTCATGATGTTTTCAATGATTAATATCACTTCTTTTTTGTTTGTAATTATGGTTTTTTAGGGTATCTCATTTGACTTTTTGCAAGTTAGTTTCACTTAAGTAATTTTCCCAATGGACTGTGCTGGAAATGGAAAAGAAAAAGGAGAACTATATACATAAACATACAAGCCATGTATTCTGCGCTGATATTTTCTACACTTGCACTCAATTGTACTCTAATAATTCTTCATATTCATTAATTTTTGTTCATTGCTTATACTTTATATGTTATCTGTTTTCAACAAAAAAAGTTGAGTGTTTTTGTTGCTTGAAGTTACTACTTTTATAGTTTACATAAGGTTTAGAACTTTTTACATAGTTTGATATCTGGCAGTTTGCAGTACGTCGTTGATAATTGTAAATAATATGTTTAATTTTCTTGCTTTGATTTATTGAATTACCTCCAGGGAGATGTAAATCATCTTGGGGCCATTCTGGAGGCTTGAGAAGTGCAGACCTTTGTACTCCTGAGATGAAGGTAAAGGGTTTTTTTTGGTGCTGGTAGTGCATTCACTTATTATAAATTGTCTGCAGTTTTGTTAATTTTTCTTTCATTGTAGTATAATTGAAAATTTGAATGTTTTCTTTGCCAGACATCATATGATTGTGAAAATCCCAAGGAGTCTGAATCTCCCCGCTTTCAAGCTATACTCCGTGTCACAAGTGCACCTAGAAAGGAGGTTTCATGCTGATATCAAAAGTTTCTCCCATGAATTGAATTCCAAAGGTGTACGGCCTTTCCCATTTTGGAAGCCTCGAGGTTTAAACAATTTGGAGGTAGTTAATTTCTGCTGTCAATTATGTTTCTTTGTTGCTGTTAAATGTTGTTCTTATTAGTCCATTTTTCCTAACTAGTTTTCTGTCTTATACAGGAGGTTTTGGTTATGATACGGGCAAAATTTGACAAAGCAAAGGAAGAAGTGGATGCTGATCTACACGTATTTGCAGCAGATCTGATTGGAGTTTTGGAGAAGAATGCGGAAAGTCATCCTGAATGGCAAGAAACTATTGAGGATTTACTTGTTTTGGCTCGGAGCTGTGCTATGACATCACCCGGAGAGTTTTGGCTCCAGTGTGAAGGGATAGTTCAAGAATTGGATGATAGACGTCAGGAACTCCCTGCTGGTGTGCTGAAGCAGCTTCATACTCGTATGCTTTTCATTCTCACCAGGTGTACAAGATTGTTGCAGTTCCACAAGGAAAGTGGGTTTGCTGAGGATGAAAATGTTTTTCAGCTTCGTCAAACTCTGCATTCTGTTGATAAACAAATTCCTTCATTTGTGGTAAGGGATGGGAAAAGTACCAGTGCTGCAATGACCTCGAAAGTCTCAACAAGGAAGTCTTACAGTCAGGAACAGAGTGGTTTAGATTGGAAGAGAGACAATTCCATGCAGCCTGGAAATTTTTTCTCTCCACCTGCTGCTGATACAACAAAGAATTTAGACTCTCCTTCAGGTAGGGATCGGATGGCTTCCTGGAAGAAACTCCCATCTCCCGCTGTAAAAATCACAAAAGAAGTTGCTCCTGTTTTTTCTCCTGTGAAAGAGGAGCAGAATGATATTAAGGTGGAATTAAAGATTCTAAACAACGTGAGAGAAGCTTCAAATGTGGATTTGGCTACTTCTAAGCCTCCTGAGCTTCCTCCTGTGAAAGATTCTCATGTGCATTCATCAATTCCTTCCAAGCACCAGCACAAACTTTCTTGGGGTCACTGGGGAGATCGTCCTAATATTTCTGATGAGAGTTCAATAATTTGTCGTATATGCGAGGAAGAGGTTCCAACTTTGCATGTGGAAGACCACTCAAGAATTTGTGCAATTGCTGATCGATGTGATGAAAAGGGTCTAAGGGTCAACGAGCGCCTTGTCAGAATTGCTGAAACTCTTGAGAAGCTAATTGAGTCTTTCTCACAGAAGGATTTCCAACATGTAGTAGGAAGCCCAGATGGTGCTAAAGTATCAAATTCTAGTGTTACTGAAGAATCTGAGCTTCTCTCTCCCAAACTCAGTGACTGGTCCCGCAGAGGCTCAGAAGACATGCTTGATTGTTTCCCTGAAGCAGAAAATTCTGTTTTCATGGATGACCTCAAGGGTTTACCATCCATGTCCTGCAGGACACGGTTTGGTCCGAAGTCTGATCAAGGAATGACAACATCATCTGCAGGTAGCATGACTCCTAGGTCTCCATTGTTGACACCCAGGACCAGCCAGATAGACTTGCTATTGGCAGGGAAGGGTGCTTACTGTGAACATGATGATATTCCACAGGTGATTTTATACATGGCTTGTTCAAGTCTTTTTCTTCTCCTCCTCCTCCTCCTCCTTTGGATATTGCAGTTACATTCCTTTATTTTGCAACTACAGTAGGTTGCATATCGATAAGTCTCAATTTCCAATTTCAACGTCTGTCTTTCACACTCGTTGCTGTCTATGGCATAGACAGGGACACAGGGCACAAGACACAGGACACAAACACGACACTATACGGGCATGTTGATATAGAAAATCCTATGAGGAGACACAGATACAGAAACATATTAGAAAATATGGAAGATGTAGCTCTGCAACATATCATGTATATAATGCATACTCCCTAATATCTTGTTTTCTTACTACAATTTTTCGCCTTCATTACATTATTCTTTTCCTATATTAGTGGTTATTCATTGCATACTTATACTCTCTATTGGTCACATGATGTAATCTTTGGAATTACATCAAAACACCTTTGGATTGTGTAAGTTCCATTCCCAAGAATGGTGGATATTGTTTGTGTTGGGGAGGGTTCAAGGAGTGCCAATGAAGTGTCTGGATTTGTTTTGAAATTAGGACGTGTTGAAGAATTATTGGACTGATTTTTAGGAGTGTCAAAGAAGTGTTAGTGTCAATATCCAACATGGACAAGGTTCCTACAAGAAGTGACTATGCAATTTTTTTCTCCTTTCTCCTACTAAAAGTGTAATGGTGGTGGCAACTAGAGTGGTGAATTTTTTACTTCTTTACACAACTTAAAAATTTATTGATAGACATGTTTTTATTTTGGAATCATATTTAGTAAGGGTTCAGAATGGTTTTTGATGGACCCTGCTTAGTTTTTAAACATGATACAATGTATGTACTAATTTTTTTGATAGTTTTAAGTTCCTATGGAAATTTTTTCTTTGTTAGTTGAATTTAGTTTACTTCACTAGTTGTACTTTTGGATAACTTCCCACTTGTTATATAAAAAATCATTAAGTACGTTTAATATTAAAAATGATTGTCTTATTTTCTTATAAACATAAGTTCATACATACTAATGTAAAAGTAACCATGATATCCAAATTTTGTTCAACTAATGTAATCTAAAACTAAATAGATATAAGTTAATAATCAATGAATCAAATTAGAAAGTAATGAAAGTTTGTCGATAGGAAAAAAGAAATGAAGGTTTGGAAAAAAAAAAAGAAAAAGGGAGAGAGAAGTAAAGCTCATTTAATTGATAGTAGCTCAAATCTTGTAGAACCTGAAGATTGGACACTTGGCATTTAGATCTAAGATTTTTGCATAAGTTCTATGTGCCTTTTCTGAAAAAAGAAAAAATGAGAAAAATAGACTAATATACAAATTCTACATAAAATGGCTTGTTACAGTCTTTACGTAATTGTGGGTGCCATTATCGCCATGAATTTCTATCATGCTGTTATCACGGCCTTGTAACAATCGAAATTGTTACGTAACAGTTGCAGTTGATTTTTAAAACCTTGCTTGGAAATCTCGTTCTGTCCGTGTAATGAAGGATTGGGTGATAAAGTTAGTAGATGTGTATTTTTGGCGGCCTCTATGATGAGGTGGTTGTTAGGAATGAGCAAGATTGGATGTTATGGAAAGCTAATGGAGGAGATTTTTGGTTGTCTTACCATTCACTCATTAGGGGAGGTGAAGTTATACCATTTTCTGAGAAAAGTGTTTGGAAGGTCGGGGTTCTGTTAATTGGAAGTTCGGGGTTCTGTTAATGGTGGATTCTATTTTTTGGGCTGCTTTAGAGTCAATTCGTACCATTGATAACTATTGAATTGTAGACCACCAACTCTTATCTAAAAGCTTAAGCTGTTAGGGAGCAAGACAACTTTATTATTTATATCTTCAACAATTACTTTGGAAGGAAGGGAAAGTTCCTCACGAATTGGTATTGCACGTGTTAGAGGGCGGAGGAGATGGTAGACCATGCACTGCATTGTGATGTTGTGACAGAGTTATGGAGTCTTTTTTCTATTTTTGTTGTCTTTTGTCTATTTTTGGTGTCTTTTGGGTAATGCTGACATCAGCTAGTCTGTGACTTAGTTATGTGAGGTTTCAGCAGGCGGTTGCCTTTTTGCCATTTTTCTAAGAGGATAAATGTTTGGGTCATTTGGGAAGTGATGCCTTTTTTGGTTGATGTGGTGTATTCAGAGAGAAATGGACGCACTTTCTGACCTATTGCACTAAATTCCATATTTGACGGTTATCTTTGAGTATAAGATATATTGACTTGTTTCTATTTTTGGTGTCTTTTGGGTAATGCTGACATCAGCAAGTCTGTGACTTAGTTATGTGAGGTTTCAGCAGCCATTCTTCTAAGAGGAGAAATGTTTGGGTCATTTGGGAAGCGATGCCTTTTTTGGTTGATGTGGTGCATTCGGAGAGAAATGGACCCACTTTTTGACCAATTGCACTAATTCCATATTTGTCTTTTATCTTTGAGTATAAGATATATTGCTACTACATCTTGAATAAGAAATTTGAGTTATTGCTATGTTTAGTCTGTCTCATGCTAAAATCCCTGATTTTTTGTGTTACAATTTTTATTGAAAATTGCATTATTTAATGTGTATTACGGTTGTATTATGTCTTTTATTTGTATAGTACTTTCTGATACACAACTATGAATTTCTTTTTAAATTGACAACTCGCTGTTGTTGCTTTTGAGCTTTTAAAACTGCTTGTTGATGATACAGATTAATGAACTTGCCGATATTGCTCGATGTGTGGCAAATACACCCTTCGAGGATGAGCGCTCTTTGTCATATTTGCTCACTTGTCTTGAGGACTTGAGGGTTGTTATTGATAGAAGAAAGTTGGATGCGCTTACAGTAGAGACTTTTGGAGCACGCATAGAGAAGCTGATTCGGTGAGTCTATCAACAGCATGAGTACTTGCATTCAACTTTTACTTGAGATTTTTTTTTTTAATATTTGGGCGTTGTTTGGTTCTTGGAAACAAGGACTGGAGGCAAAAAATGCAAAGGGATTTATTTCACAGTTTGATTGCTATAGAAAAGTAGCTGGGAAAAGAAATATGACATAAAATGGGGAAGAAATGTGACTTTGGTTAAAAAATTGTGAGAAATCCATTTTATCTTCTTTTGTTTTAATCTCTCTCCCAAAAAACATACAAATGAAGTTGCTTCCTCAATGCTTTATTTCATTTTTCATCTATTTTTCCATGGACAACTAAGCAAGGGACAGATATATTTTTTTTTTTCGTTTCCTTTTCCCTTTTCTAGTTCTTCATTTCTCCTCAACTCTTCTAAGGACCATACTGAGTCTACGATTGAGTGAAAGGTATTCCTTGCTACTTTCTGTACCTAGTCAAAAAGTAACAATTAGTGATTCTGTAGGGAGAAGTACCTACAGCTTTGTGAGCTTGTTGACGATGAGAAGGTTGATATAACAAGTACTGTTATTGATGAAGATGCACCTTTGGAAGATGATGTTGTACGTAGCTTGAGAACCAGCCCATTACATTCTGCTAAGGACCGAACATCTATAGATGACTTCGAAATCATAAAACCAATTAGTCGAGGGGCATTTGGCCGGGTGTTTTTAGCAAAAAAGAGAACAACAGGGGACCTCTTTGCGATAAAGGTACATTCTTCATAGAATTTGCAGTTTGCTTTTCCTTGAAGTGTTGTTCATTTTCTATATTAAATTTGATGTTCCAACATTGCTGCACCGTGCATGTGTCATTTAAGTTGGTGATATTTCTTTTCTTAATTATTATTGTGATATACTTTTTGTGTCAATTGTTATTATGGTTAGTTTTTGATGTTCTCTAAAGTTCTATAAAATTCTCTGCCTGCAATATATGCACAGTAGTTTCTTGTTAGTTATTGGGGAGTTTTCAGCGCCATTAGGTTTTGGATCCTTGGTTTTAGTGAATGTTGACTAATAGGAGTATATGGTCTTAATAGTCTGAGATTAAGGGAATCTTTGTGAGATGAGTTAGCTGGCTTGTTTCGTTTAAGTTCTTTTAATTGTGTGTGGATGGTGAGATATTTTGATGCATTTATTATAGACTGCAATCTGATTGATCTTCCTAAACTGAATGTTTGGTTCACCCAGTGAAATATTTAGGCAGGTCTGATTTGTAATACATTTGATAGTTCTATATATTCTTTGGGATAAGCAGGGGTGCTTCATATATTAGTATCTGATCATTGTCCTGTGAGTTTAGAGAACTGTCCTTTTAAGTGGGGTTCTACTCAGTTATAGTTTTGAAATATTTGGATTGGATTGGATTGGTTATAGCATCATATTTTTCTTAGAGAGTTAATTACCTAAAAGTCCTATTTACAAATGTTATGGTAGTTTAGGTTCTATCTAAAACCAATAAGTCCTATTTAGTAAAATTGAGAATATTATCAGTTTTTTTTTTTCAATTTTTAAACTAAGAACATTATCAATTTTGCATAATAATGTTCCAGATAATTATTTCACTAACTGATGAAAAAAAAACAGAGCATGAGAGATTAAACGTTTTTACCCTTCTACTTATTGGTTTGATTCAATTATCCAATAAGACTGAGAATATTATCATTTTTTTCTAGTTTTAAAACCCCCCAAATAGCTACCATCAATGGTGATCCTAACAAGAGATTGGAAAGAAAATTACAAATCACAAATCGAGAAACCTAATTCTTATTACAACTTGATGGTTGAGACGATATATGAGGTGAGGAAGATGTGGCCACCATTGCTTTCACTCTAACAAATTAATTCCCTTGATTTTTTTTAAATTTTTTTTATCAGCGTTAGTTCCTTTGAATTGATGTATGCATTTGCATGTTCACCATAAATAGGTGAAACACCCACCAATAACACCCAACAACCACTTAAAATGAGTTTAAATATGCACAACACCTCTACATATGATGCTAGGTTTTGGTGTCAACCATGGCCTGTACATGAGGCTGGTGAGGGGTATTTTGGTTAGCCGAGTGGGTGTTGGAAGGTGGGACGAACCAATATTCCATGTGGGTGGGTGTAGATTTTCTGCCATTAAAGTAGGCTTGAAAGAACAAAAAAATAGAGAGAGAGAGAGAGAGAGGAGATAATTTTGCATTTTACTCCAAACCACAAGGAGTTTATGTGTACATTTTTAAATGTAAGGAAGGCTTATTTACACATAGACTCCCTAAACTATTGAGAGGGTCTCACTTTGACCTCCTAAACTATAAAAGTGTGCAAATGGACCCCCTAAACTATAATGCAAATGGACCCCCTAAACTATTGGGAAGTATCATTTCGCCTCCTAAACTATAAAAGCATACAAATGGGCCCCCTAAACTTCTGAGAAGTGTCACTTTGATCCCTTCCGTTAGGGGGTCCAATTTGTATGCTTTTATAGTTTATGGGGGCCAAGTGATACTTATCAATGGTAGAGGGGTCCATTTGTGTACTTTTATAGTTTTGGGGGTCTTCATGTAAATAACCCTTTAAGGAACCGTTTGAAGAATTGAGAGGTTTATGGGACTATTTGTTATTTGTCTTCCTTTTCAGGCTTCAGGGTGATCTCCTTTTAATGGGATCCCTTTGTTTTTTATCAGTAAAGCTTTGAGAGTTATGTGTGATATGTAATTTGCTATACTTTTTTGGAAGGGAATAGTCTGAAGAATTAGGAGGTTTATGGGACAACTTGTTATTTGTCTTCCTTTCGGGCTTCAATGTGGTCTCCTTTTAGAGGGATCCCTTTGTTTTTTATTAGTAAAGAGTTGAGAGTTATGTGTGACTTGTTATTTGCTATACTTTTTTGGAACTCATCTTTCTACTTCCTTTTATTAGATCTTATCGTTGATGCAAAAGAATAAAAAGGTCTCTGTGTTGATCACTTGCATTTTCATTTAGATACTTGTAGACGTTTACTCAAAACAACTTGTAGGTTCTTAAATTCGTAGGACTTGCTTCGATACTAAAGTTGATTCAACCTATACAGTTCTAAACCCTTTTCTTGAATAACCAAAATATGTGTTAATTAGTTCCGTAGCATTTGGTTAAAAAATAAGTAACTAGCAAAGAAGGAAGTAGTAAAAGACAGCGAGTGGGGAGGTGCCTCACATTCTTCCAAGCCTCTTGATCACCAGACGACATATAAGTTGCACAAGAGGATGTTACTGATCTTATATATATTCTTAATGAACCTATAATAGGAAAAGGGAGTAGGTTGAGCAAGAGATAAAGAGAGAGGAGGGGTGAAGAATGTAAGCTACAATCTAGAAAGGAAGATGACCATACCCATACTACTGATTGAAGAATTATCTTTCTATTTTTAGGATACAGATCAGAACTACATTGTGGGACTTGAACCCATAATCTCCCGATCAAGCTAATATTATTCGAACAGAGCTTGATCTTGTGTCTTTTGCTCATAGGACTATAGAAGCATCCCTTATTGTCATTTCCTCTTCCCGTCCGAATTAGCATTTAACGGTTATTGGTCTATACTACAATTTTGTCATTTCTGACCAATGAAAGGGAGTTGGATTTTAAATTTCTAATCATTTTGCATATCAATAATATTTTTGCAGGTTCTTAAGAAGGCAGATATGATTCGTAAAAATGCTGTTGAGAGTATCTTGGCAGAACGTGATATATTAATATCAGTTCGCAATCCTTTTGTGGTGAGCAGGTCTAGCTATCAAAAGTGTATTACCATTACTTATCAGATGGTTATTTCATTCTAACCTTAATGTCAAATATGCCAGGTTCGCTTCTTTTATTCATTTACTTGTCGTGAAAATTTGTATCTTGTGATGGAGTACTTGAATGGAGGAGATTTGTATTCACTGTTGAGAAATCTAGGCTGCTTGGATGAAGATGTTGCTCGTGTATATATTGCAGAAGTTGTAAGTATCTCTCTCTTTGGAAGTAATTTTTTCGCTTACAATATGCTCTAGTCTTAATATGAGATTTAATTATGGGCAGGTGCTTGCTTTGGAATATTTACATTCACTTCGGGTGGTTCATCGCGATTTAAAGCCTGATAATTTGTTGATTGCACACGATGGTCATATTAAGGTGAACTGGCTTTCCAGTTTTGGTTTTTATTTCTGATTGATATGAGCTGTGTAACACAGATACCTTTAGAGGAAGTGTGTCCGTGTTGGGCATGTTGGACACAGACACTTCTTGAATACTACTAGAAGTGTCTCACACTTCTTGAATGTGCCATAATTTATGAATAAAAATTCTTAATGTTTATACACTATAACGACACTTATGGAGCACTTCATTGACATTTCTCAACATGAATTTGTTTTTGATAAGGAAAGATAAAAAAAAAAAGTCAACATAAGCAGGAGCAATCCTGTACACCACTTATCAATAAGAGTTATATGTTGAACTAAGAAGCATGAACACGAAACAGACATGTTGACACAACAATTTTCGAAATAAGCATGACATGACACGGGGACATCTGCAAAATGTATCATTTGAGATATTTATTGCATGTCATATATATGAATATTTCATTCAAGGTTGATATAAATATGCAACATGAATATTTCATTCGAAGTTAATGAAAATATACAACATAATACGATTTTTTTTGAGTTTGAAGGAGAATGGATTAATAGGTATATTTTACATTGCTTTCTCTTAGCACTAGATTCTTTATTATTTTGTTCAAACTTGTAATATCTTTTATGTATGTCTAAGTGATGGACATGTGTATCTCCGAAGCGTCCTTAGTGACCGGCACGTGTTGGAAATGTTCGATGAGTGTCGGTGTCTAAGACCTGTTAGAAATGGACATGACACTTTCTTAGAAGTGTTCATGTTTCTTGGATGTGAATCTTTTAAGAAGAACAATGCCCGACATTATCGGAAAAGCAACTCACACTTCTCAAATATATTTGAAACTTTTCAAAAAGGATACATTCTATGAATGATTAGTATTAAGAGAAGCATACATTGCCCCTTTTTAGGATTTTTCGTGGTAGTGTGTCTGTGTCCTATTGTGTACATGTCTTGTCAATGTGTGTCCGACGTAGGATACAAGGAATTACTTATTTGAACATAAATAGAATTGTTTTAATCTCGGTGAGAACCTCTTTTCAGTAAATCCATATGCCTAATGGTTGTCTTGTGTTCTACATTTTGGGCTGCCAACATGCATAAAGAATATCTTTTCAAATTATATGTTTATTTTATTACTGACTACCATATTGGGATGAGGAGCACATAGAACACAGAAGAGGCAAGTATCTACTGGAGTGGTGATCTTTTACTATATTCTGGATTACAAGTTATGTTTCACTTGCATCTTTTTATGTGGCTCTCTAGTTACATCATTCGCTTTGGAATTCATTTTCTTGACAAAAATATCAATAGAGTTATCTAAGCCTGCCTTCTTTATTTTTTTTCCCAAATTTTATTTTATTTTATATATATATATTAAATGTAAGTTCAGTAAGGCAAACACTGACATTAAACTTGAGTAGCTGTGCTCATTAAAGTGTAGGACAAACACTTGCATAACCTCAAATGGAGTTTGCTATATGCCTTTGAGAATCTGGTCGCTTTCCTTTCATTTAGTTCATAAATGTGCTTATAAATTAATTGTTGGGGGAACTTGGTTTGTTTTCTCAGGCTCACTAGAAGCTTTGTTTCTGCGGTTTAGGCTGAGCTTCCTTTCAAAAAATGCAATTAAGAGTCCATTTGATAAATGCTGCCTTATTTATGCCATGAAGGCAGCTACTTGGGTTGCTTTGATTTTTTTGTCACTATAACATTGTTTCTTCTAATTGTTATGACCTCACTTTTATTTCATGTTCAGTAATTTCAAATGCCTCAACTGTCTCATTTGCGTCTCCATTGTTATTATTCCTCCAATTTTGTTATTATGTTTAATGGTTTTGTCTTGCACAGGTTATATCTTTCTTAATTTGCTATAGTTATACACACACAGCTCACATTGGTTATCAAACTGGCTCAAGCTACATGGCTAAAAATATTAATCAGTTTCAGAAAATGAAAATTCTCTGCCAGATTATTTCATAAAATTCCATCTATTTTTGTCAAATTTTATGCTCATGTGAACTTGACATCGGCTGATGATTGTATTTATGGTCCCCCACCCCCACCACCACCCCCACCCCAATACTTAGATCATCTGTCTTTGTGGTTAAGCTTATGGTTGTTAGAATGTACAATTGACCATTCAATTCTTGTGACCCAATATGAGTTTCAACCAAAACAATTCAAAGCGTGCTATTGAACCAGAAATTAAGGGAATCGTGCAATTCAATTGTGATCCACTATGATTTATTGTGGTTCACTGCAATTCAATTCTATTTTTTTTTCTTCTTTTGTTTAAATAATGTATGCAATGATGTCGATTTCGTCTCTATCAAGAAATAAAAAAGCAATCAATTAGTTATATATCAATATGAGTAATGCTAGGCATCTTGAAAGAAATATCATGAAAAGCTTCATAAAGATTCTCTACCCTTGGATTACACACACAATAAAACTTCACACAATAATCAAATGATGAAAAATCTTCATGAAACATTTCATGATATTTCTTTCATGAAGCCTAACATTATTCAATCAATATGTGATTTTATACATATACATACATATATAATTTAGTTATATTGATATTTGTTTTGATAGGCAATTTAGTTATATTGATATTACTTCATTTTAAACATTATATGTGTATTTTTATATAAAATTATATATTATATTATATAAAATGAATCTTTACGATTCATGATTCCCTATTTTTGCAAAACAATTCATGACTCAATTCACGATTTGATAACAATGTATGTTTAAGCTTACAAGATACTTTCATTTTATATACAGTTGACAGATTTTGGGCTCTCAAAGGTTGGTCTCATCAACAGTACTGATGATTTATCTGGTCCAGCTGTTAGTGGGACATCGCTACTGGGAGATGATGAACCTCAGTTATCTGAGGATCAGCGAGAAAGGCGGAAGAAACGTTCTGCTGTTGGAACGCCTGATTATTTGGCACCTGAGATTCTTTTAGGGACAGGACATGGTTCGTTTGTCCCTTTTTCTCATTTAATGGTGTTGCCATAATCACCTTTCAAGTTAAATAGCTTAAACTAGGGGAAATTTGTTTATCCACTTATTTTTCTAAAGCTTAATATAAATTATGAATACAAGTACAAAAGTTTTGTTGCTGTTATTATTACTTTTATGGGTTGAAATTTATGGAGCTAATACATGGGAAGTTTAAAGCTAGAATGGCACTCAATTATCAATGAATCTCTTTTACATTATTTTAGAAGGTTATGCCTTTGATTGATTGCTTCTTAGAGTGGAAGAACTCACCCTGTTGCACTGTACAATTTTTTCCAGGCACACCTGCGGATTGGTGGTCTGTGGGTGTTATCCTATTTGAGCTGATTGTTGGCATTCCGCCATTCAATGCAGAGCATCCTCAGGTTACCATCTTGCTCCGGATTTTTTGCTGCATTAAGTTTTTCCTCTCTTTTGCTTTAAAAAAAAAAGAAAAGAAAAGAAAAAAGAATTCAAATAAAGGAAAATAATGTTAGTAGTAAAAATGATTTAATCAAGAAATCTACCAGCAGGTTTAGGTTTCTCAGGTGATGTGTATTGGATAGTAGGTAAACGTAAATTTCACATATGTGAATGTAACCGTGTTTGGTTCTAATTGATTGAGTTCTCCTTGCATTGCTGTCCTCTTATTGTTTCTTTTGCTTTTAGACAATATTTGATAATATTCTCAACCGAAAAATACCTTGGCCTGGGGTTCCTGATGAAATGAGCTACGAAGCACAAGATCTTATTGATCGGTAAGAATTGCTAGTTATTTATTATAAAAGAATGGTTTTTTTGTTCTCCCATTTTTTTAGGCTGTTATGTGAGGGGTAGTTTTGCTTAAGAGTTTACCTGTGCGTTTGATTTCCAGGTTATTGACAGAAGATCCTCATCAGAGACTGGGAGCAGGAGGAGCGTCAGAGGTGATATTCATTCTTCATATAATTTGAAATTTGGACATCTTGATTATCTTGAACTTCATCTTCTGATAATTAAATTTGGTATCCAAATAATTTGAGACAACTTCTTATCCAGGTGAAGGAGCATTCATTTTTCAGAGATATTAATTGGGACACCCTTGCTAGGCAAAAGGTATGCTGTTTTTCCTATCATATGGCCTATTTGGTAGAGCTTCTAGTAAGCTAAAAGCTGATAATCATAATGCATAAACTAAAAATACCTCTCCTCTCCCAATGCTTTAATCAGCTTATAAACGGTATTCATGTCTTATAAGCTGTAAGCAGAAGTTACACAAAACACTTGGCATTTCCAAATAAAAACTATAAGCAGCTTGATAAGTTGCACCAAACAACCACATAGTCATGTAGATAGATTAATAGCATAAATAAATGTTTGTGTTTATTGACACAATGTGGAGTTCATAACTTTTCCCAGGCTGCATTTGTTCCTTCCTCGGACAGTGCTCATGACACCAGTTATTTTACAAGTCGCTACACATGGAATCCTTCTGATGAACATTTTTATGGAGGCAGCGAGTTTGAGGACAGTGACAATGGTAGCACGAGTGGTAGTAGCAGTGTCATAAGCAATCGCCATGATGAACTGGTATTGTAACTCAGAAATTGGCCAAACTTAAGAAATCAAGAGAGGGCTATAAGATTTATTATCTAAAACATATATTGGGTTTATTTATTTATTTTTGGTGACAATGATGAACAGGGAGATGAATGTGGGGGTCTTGCAGAATTTGAGTCTGGCTCTTCTGTCAACTATTCCTTTAGTAATTTCTCATTCAAGGTATGTTTCAACCTAGTTGGCAGCATAAGCACCTACATCTTGTCTTTTTTGGTCAAAGTCACTCACTTCTATTGCTTCATGTGCAAAGACTGTTTCAAATACAACTTAAAATTTTATATTTTCTTTGCATGAAATTGGATGAGCAGTATAGCTGCCTTTTTTTGGATAGACTGTTTTGGGTTGAAATCTGGTTGGATGCTTCCAGTAACACATGACATAAACTCTTTAGATTTCCACGAACTAATTTTAAATTTTGTAAAATTTCTTTGGATAGCCCATAGTACCAAAATTAACCCCTCTCAAACCGTAGCCACCTCCAGCTCCATCCACTCTCTCTTGATGCCTTGTGGTTTCTCTTACCATCGTTTGGTTTTCTCCATTGTGATAGAAATCTGGATCTGGATTTGCAGGGGTGGGGGAGGGGCTTGGGGTGGCAGCCCAGAGTTGGTGGCAGTTGGGGTGGTGGGCGTATGGTTTGAGTTAAGGTTTGGAGGTAAGGGATGGGGTGCAGAATTGGAATTTATGATAGGGTGGTCATAGTTTTTTTTAATGGGTGGGTGTCCAAAGAGAGAATTGGGGTGCTATTATCCGGAGCCTCTTGCTTTGGCTAGTTATTTCCATTTTAGGATTTTGTCTTTTATTGCAAGCCTATGTTATGCTGATACGAATGATGCATCTTCTTCAACTTTGTACTGTTATTTTTTCATGAACAAATTTTGTTGGATAAATTTTTTTTTTTCTGCTGATTTGTTTGCTTGTGTTCTTCAGAATTTATCCCAGCTCGCATCAATCAATTACGATTTGCTTAGTAAAGGTTGGAAGGATGATCACCCACCAAACCATAATGCATAACTACCCAATCTTCCCCAACACAATTCGACATTGGGTTTTTTGACATTAAAACAAATTTCAACTTGAGGGACCGATGATCACCCAAGTGTTGTATGTATACCCTGTAAATGTATGTATATTCTTAATGTTCTTTCTTCATTTTTTTTTTTTTTTCTTCCCCACATCGTTAGCATATTATCGTGTTACTCGGAAGTAATTGGGCGTTGGTTTGCTACTTGCAGAGATGGAAGAAGCTTGAGACTGAAACTGCCCCAGGATGTGCTCTTTCATTGGGCTCCACACTGTTGGGGGAGTTTCATATATAATGATTTGAGTTGTTTGTATTCTGTTTTGATGGCCTCAAAAATGTATCTTAATTTTCATGTCTGTAACCTTCTGCTGTGCACTCATTTTTTTTTACTCCATAGCAATGAAGAACACATTGGTTGTCTCAGATGTTCTTCAACATGTTGTGTGAGTGTGATATGTTCAAATCATTTTTTTATTTTATTTATATCATTTAAGAAAAGGCAGAGTTTTTAATCATTCTGTGCAATTTTGGTAACTTGTCAAGATGTCAACAAAAAAAAAAAATGTGAAAATTTTGATCAAAATTCTCATTTTAGAAAAAAATGAAAGAAAAGAGGGAGTGTTTGAATGATGCCTGAGTTATTAAATGGAAATAAAAGTAGAAAGGACCTGATATAAAGTCACCCCACTTTCAGCTTATTTAATTAGAACTGTTCACTTATAATATCTTTTGAATATATTATTTTAGACACTCGGTAGGATATACTCTATTAGTATTAAATTGATTGGATATCAATAATTATATTTATTATATTTGTTTATAAAATGTTGATGGTAAGTATGATTTTAATAGATAGATTATTTAGTTTTTAATTTTTTTTTAGAGACATTTGATTCTATTATGCAGTTACTGATATCTGATAAGTTCGATTTTCTCATATGGAAGATTTACTTGCCTCATATGAAAGATGAATGTGTTTGGAATAGGTCAGAACCCTCAATTGAACCACCCTCCGGTCCAACAACAATACTACAAAGTTATGTTAAAGATCTTAAATAAATTATGAAATTTTTTATCAAATTCTTATATGGGTGTGGGATCTGTAAACGTATGATTTGTGTTGGTCCTACATCATGTGAGAGATTTATTAAAAAATTGGATAATTTATTTAGGGTCCATAGCATTTTCCTAATTATCTAGAATAGAATGAAGTGGGGCTTAATTTTCGAAGAACAATGTTAAGGATCTTAAATATTTTATCAAATGTTTCATTTGAGTGTGAGATTCACACTATGGAAGTTTTATGTGAGTCTCACATCCTGAAACATTTGATAACACATTTAGTAAAATATTTAGGGGTTGTTTGAGGTGTCCTAAATAAGTGCATTTTTTATTTTTTTGGACTAAAAAGTTGAGAAAAAAAATATGGATGTTTGGGTTAACTCTCTGACTTTTTATGAAAAAATATGTACTAAAATATTGTATAAATAAGTATGTAGCAGAAGATAATTAATTAATCCGTACGGATTGGGGAGTGCGGTCGGCTGGGTAGGAGATGGGAAAAGATTGCCTACTTTTAGGGCTTTGATTGGACGGTGTTGTTCGGCCCATGGGAGCCCACCACGGGTCCCGTTTTTCTAATCGGAACCGTTTCAATGTGTAGAACTCGTCGAGTATTATATGTTTGTGAAAAATCACGTTAATTAGATATCGATAGCTATCTGATCTTATTAGTTTTTTTTGTCACATGTTAACTATAACACCATCAATTTTTTTATACAAAATTAATTTGATCATGTAGTTAGCGATATTCGATAGACGTGATTTTTTACAGGCATATAGTACTAGACAATTTTTACATATTCAATGGTTTGGATTATCAAAACGAGACCCATAGTGGGCCCCCACGAGCCCAACTTTACCGTCAAACTTAATGAATATACACACGTAATTTTGTTTTTTCCTTTCACTCCTTTACTTTGATGTCTGTACCTTAATTTTTTTTATATTTTTTTAGTAAATAGTAATAACTTTTAATTTTTTTTAATAACTTTTTACCTTTTTAATTTTTTTTTAAAGTTACCAAACCAGCCTTTAGAATTCTAAGCATTACTCATTTTCGATCCTCGTCGTTAGTAAAGATTGATTATTTGTTCATTATTGCAGCCTTTGTTTAGTTATTATTATTATTATTTTCCATGTTGGATTCTTTTTTTGTAATTATTGTTAGGGTAATGATAGAGAACACTAAAAGTAAGGCTCTAAAGCAATCATTAATGATGTGACATTTACTTTTAAAAAAAAAAAAATAGACACAACAACATTGTGGCAGTGGGTGGGACCCATTGTCACATCATTAGTGGTGACACTAATTAGTGGACAAACAAGGGGTCACTGCTGTGCGTGAGACACAGCAGTGACTGTGGTGCCTTCATTTGAGGTGTAATATGGTCTTATTTTTATGATCTAAATCGTCCCTTTTGTAGGGTTTGTTGAGTGCTTCATGCCTACCAAAAATCATATTAATCGGATATCAACAACTATATTATCGAATTGCATATTATTTATGTTATTTCTCAAAATAAAACTTATTATTTTTTTAAAATATAATGCAAAGGCTGAAATACCTTTCTATATAATCCAAAACCCTCACTGAACCATTTATCTTCTTTTCTATCTCCACATTATTGGTATCCTCTCTTTTCCCTTTATTTTCTCTCTTTCTAAACCCTAAACCCTTTTGATTTCCATCTTCGATCCATCTCACAAAATCGAAATCTTGAAATCGTCCATTGAAATCCATCACCATATCAGATTTGATGCCTATGAACTCATATTTGAGATCAATAATTTCAGATCTAAGATAAAATGACCTCATATATGTCAAAAAAATGATAAATTGATATATTACAATAAAAAATCGAGAGTTTTTTGTTTGTTTGTTTATAGATCTAAAGTAAAATTCGATTATAATTCATTTATCTAGTATGTACTCTGTTTTCGCAACAGTAAAATTTTACTATGGTTAATGAAAAATAAAGTTTATTCTCTTATGCATAGACAAACATTCAACAACAGTAAAATTTTACTTTAAGATTCAGAGTAAATTTTACTCTAAAATATAGTAAAATTTACTAAAAAACAAATTAGAAACTGTATAGACAAACATTCAACAAAGAGACTAATAATAACATTTAGAGAGTCTTGAAAGACTTTTTAAATAATTTGTGTGGATAGTTAAGTACAGTAAATAATAATGTTAGAGCACATAGATATAATTAGATAAAAGAAAAAGTATATATTTTAGTTAATAAAAAATAAAGAGTAACATTAGAGTTGCTCTAACCGAATAGAAGCTAATAAACTTTCCCTCTTGTATAAACAATCGGGCAATGCTAGAGATCACTAAAAGTGGTGTTGTAAAGCAACCACTAATAATGTGACATCTATTTTAAAAAAAAAAAATAGACACAACAACATTGTGGCAATGGGTGGGACCCATTGTCACATCATTAGTGGTGGAACTAATTAGTGGACAAACAAGGGGTCACTGCTGTGTGTGAGGCACAGCAGTGACTGTGGTGCCTTCATTTGAGGTGTAATATGGTCTTATTTTTATGATCTAAATCGTCCATTTTGTAGGGTTTGTTGATTACTTCATGCCTACCAAAAATCATATTAATCGGATATCAACAACTATATGATCGAATTGCATATTATTTATGTTATTTCTCAAAATAAAACTTATTATTTTTTTAAAATATAATGCAAAGGCTGAAATACCTTTCCATATAATCCAAAACCCTCACTGAACCATTTATCTTCTTTTCTATCTCCACATTATTGGTATCCTCTCTTTTCCCTTTATTTTCTCTCTTTCTAAACCCTAAACCCTTTTGATTTCCATCTTCGATCCATCTCACAAAATCGAAATCTTGAAATCGTCCATTGAAATCCATCACCATATCAGATTTGATGCCTATGAACTCATATTTGAGATCAATAATTTCAGATCTAAGATAAAATGACCTCATATATGTCAAAAAAATGATAAATTGATATATTACAATAAAAAATCGAGAGTTTTTTGTTTGTTTGTTTATAGATCTAAAGTAAAATTCGATTATAATTCATTTATCTAGTATGTACTCTATTTTCGCAACAGTAAAATTTTACTATGGTTAATGAAAAATAAAGTTTATTCTCTTATGCATAGACAAACATTCAACAACACAGTAAAATTTTACTTTAAGATTCAGAGGAAATTTTTCTCTGAAATATAGTAAAATTTACTAGAAAACAAATTAGAAACTGCATAGACAAACATTCAACAACACAGCAAAATATTACTTTCAATTCAAAGTAAATTTTACTCTGAAATAAAGTAAAATTTTACTTGAAGATTCAGAGTAAATTTTACTAGAAAACAAATTAGAAACTGTATAGACAAACATTCAATAACACAGTAAAATTTTACTTTCAATACAGTAAAATTTTACTCTGAAATAAAGTAAAATTTTACTTTGAAATAAAGTAAAATTTTACTTGTATGTTAAGAAAACAGAACAGATAACATCAGAGTAAAATTTTACTCTCATTTTATCAAACAAAAACAGATCACATATCAGAGTAAAATTTTACTCTTATTCTGTCAAATAAAAACAGAACATAAACCAGAGTAAAATTTTACTCTCATTATGTCAAACAAAAATAGAGCACACATCTGATTGAACTTGGCGATCAACAAAAATAAATAAAAAATAACAATAGATTTATACAGCTTTGCAACGTAATCTCTCATTTATTTGAGAGTGTTGATCTTATATGGAGAGATCGTGCAGTCTTGACCAAGGGTGAGATCGTCGGCGGTGAGATCTTCGGCGGTTAGATCTTTAGACTTTGCGATTGTCTTCATGGATTTTGTAGATCGTCTTCACTTCGCAGATCGTCTTCAAGATCGGTGTATGCATGAGCTGAGATTGTTCAAATATGTAATATATATATATATATGAGGACAATATGGTAAAAAACAAAAAACAAATTATAGAATGTCCTTATTGAGCTGGGCTTCTCTTGCTCAAAGACTTTTTAAAAGAGAATTCAT